GACATGGCTATAATAAGCTACATGGAAAGCATGCTGGAATAATCTCTCTGGCATTTTTTTGCTTCTAATAGAACAGTTCCTCAGCACAAGAAAAAGTGCAAGTGCACCGGTTCCCTTTATGGGGTCTCTTCTCCACAGCAGAATTAGGATGTTTTTTCTTCTTTATTCCTATGTCAGGTAGAAAGAACATGCCATGTATAGATTGGCTCCTAACTCCCACAAAACTACTCCACAGGACAAGACACRCACCCATCAAAATCTTATAGAGACACAGCCCAGAAACCAAACTTGGGGCTCCATGTWTGGAAGCCTTCAGACATTCTCACTGCTTAATTTGGGGACTGCTAAAGGATCTTCCTTCAGCTCAAAGCAGAAACTCTGTCAACACTYTCCACCCTCAAAATTCTTTAATATTCACATAATTCTAGTCTTCAGTGGGTTCTCTCAAGCATGAGTAATGTTCTTCTTAGTAATTCAGTTCTGTTTCAGGAAAAGATCTCAYGAGTGGAGTGTGCTGTTGCYAAAGGGATTTCTTAAAGCAGCAAGGACTTAACCTTTAGAAGGGAACACATTCAYACCTTATGACTTATGTGAAGCTATCCAAATACAAGACCTTCATAAAAGAATATTGGGTGCCTTTATTTATAKATTAATTTCTGCTCCATTTTCAACATGGATGTCAAGTAAAAATCAGACGTGAAGAAACTCAGGAGAATATTATCCTCCTTAGAACTGGAAAGTACCTCCACTTATTAAAAGCCAGCATCAGAAGTTCAAATTCAAAACAACTGCATCCAAGCACTGAAACTGTATGTAGCCATTAGAGTTTCTATTATCAGAGATTAAAGGTACAAACAATGAAGAGTTGTCCATAAAAAAACTCTAATTCTGAGCATAATCACCTCTAAAATGCTTTGCGTCCTAATTAAATGTTCCAAAGTCCAACACAAATAATATCTGATAATATCTGGAAAAGGTAAAAAAATAATATCTGATAATATCTGAAATGAAGGATGTCAAAAAGGAAATAAAAACACCACTCCTCACAACTATTTAAGATAATTCACTACACCTTGGACACTTCAATAAAGATTAATAGACTGGTGTTTTTGAAAGTTATCATTGAATGCAGCCATTTTTCTAGATTCYAAGAACAGCTCTTCCCAGCTCATCTCAGCTTCTTCTGATGGATTTACATCCCTGTGCCTATAAAGCCTGGATGAGGAGATTTTGATCTACCCCCATCTGGGGATGGTTCATGTACTTTACAAAATTCTAAGACAAGTGGCACTTCCATTCACAACCCATGAATGCATCCTCCCAGCACGCCAAAATAGTATTAAGGGAAAAAATTCCCAGCATTTAGCATCTGCACAATAACTCCTCATTATGGACAAGATTTATAAAGCAACTGAAGAGTTTCAAAGATTCAAGAGTCATGGCAACAGAATCAAGGCAGAGTCACATTTTGTTCATAAATGTAGTAGTGCAGGCAAGACTTGGGATCTAATAATATCTAAACAGAATGAACAAATAAGAAACTATCATAAGRGACTAAAACAGAAGCAGATTTAGAAAATTAAATCCAGGACAAATCTTAAGGAAGAGGAAATTTAAGCCAAAGGTTTTTCACAACTCTAGAAAAAGCACTTAGTACAAGAGAATTAGAATTTAAGTCTTCCAACAACAAAAACTCTAGACCTATTACATATGGGAAGCTAATAACTGATGAAAAATGGAAAAGAAAATAGAGAACAGCAAGACCTAATAATGAAAATACGAATTCTGAGACCATTTACTTGAACCTTCACCACTGTTAAGTCCACATATGGTTCCTGAACATTTTCTCCCATCTTATTCAGGTACTTAAATAAAAAGCATCTTTAAGAATTTTCTGTAATAGCTTAGATAAACAAGACTGTATGATTATTTAGTCATCTTTAACACCATAWAAGTTCATCCTGACAGGCTCTGCAGATCTGTACCAGGGATCATATGGATTATATTTTTAGTCCTTATCTTCTGCATCTCTCCCTTCTGAGTTTTCCATTACATTGCCCATCTCAGAACAAGAAACAGGAGGAGAGAAAAACAACAGTACAATTTAGCAGGTTTCMTAAACTGGCCACTCAGACTAGATGGAACAGGATATAATGCTGGCCTGTGTAAGGATTTGATACATTCCCCTTTGGACAGTTCTGCCTCATGTCCTTGGCCCCAAACAGACCCATGGCTTTCCTTGCTGCCACACAAGCCCTACACGCAGGGCTGCTCACAGCCCTAGATTATGTTTTCTATGAGTCAAGAAAATGATCTCAGCTATTTTAAGAATGTTAAGACTGGAGGATTAAATGCTCCAAAGCGCCAAGAAGTGACAAGCTAAGCATCTATCTCTTATATTACTCCCTTATTGAAATGATTTATTACAGAGCTCTTATTTCCCCATTATGCTTTTCAAATCAAAAGTATTTTCTTCTTTATGGTAACAAGGTGTATTTTGAGTAAGACAAACAAGACTGGAGTACTCAAACCTTTCAACAAAACAGTTCCAGTTATATCATTACAACTTAGGCTTTCAAATGCATTTTTCTCCTCACACTGTACTTTTCACAGAGACTTTCACTTGTCTGGAGGAAAAGTGTCAATTAATTCAGAAACTATAGTAATATAGACTGTATTCAGCCACACAAAATGCAATTATTTTKTTCAGGCTTTTAAACAAAATACACCATTTTCCAATAATTAGATTTTCTGAAGTAATCAAATATCTCAAAGGAATAARGTAACAAAATATTTATCTTTAATTTCTCCCTCATTCTATTACAATGTCAAACTATTATTTAGATTCTCATTCTCAAAGATTTCCAAAATCAATCATTTGGGAAAAAAATTAAAATGATCAGATGTTAGCTTGAATACTATATCCCTAGTATACACATTAAAAGTTTCCACAAAAATGCTGTTCARCATTGGAAACAAATTGTTTTTGGCCAGAAATACATCCAACAGCTGCAATTATTTTTGAGGCACAGATTTYGTACCGTCTGATGTGTGACCCTTAAATTCAGATTGCATGAAATGATCAAGAGCAGCCTTTCTGAAAGGCCCAGGCCACAGGCGTCCTTGAGTTAACTCCTATCTGCATCAAATAATCTTTGCAGAAAGCTGCACAGCTTTTTAKTGAAACATTTCCCCAAAATAGATAATCCACGCAGACCACACATGGTCAGACATGTGTCCTGCTCCTCCGGACTGGATTTACCCAGCTGCAGCTTCCAGCCMCTGCACTTTATTACAAATTGGTCTGCTGACTACAGTTCATCACCACAAAGCCATTTCTGTGACTGAYCAAGATGTCATTGTTTAACCATTGGTTTTTCCCTGTCTCAGAACATACTTAGTAACTTCTGTATCTTCAGGGAAGATTTTTAACAAGGCAGTTTGGAACTGCTGACACCAAACTTCCAGTAGGTCCACTGCCCATCCAAGAGCCCTTTTGAGCACATGATGTTGTAGGAGATTTGTGTTCTGTCCCTTTCAGTGCCACAGGGACCACGAGMTGAAGCAGGTGACAAACCTGGCCCSTGTCCCTGGCTCCCAGCTGTTAACCCCTGAATTTGGTCACACAGAGAGCACCCAGCTATTTGCACATGTCACACCATTGGAACACAGCTGTTAAGGAGCCCTCTGCTGTTCCTAACAGCCCCATCATGGGTCATCTCTGCCAGGATCAGTTTTAGGTTTCATTCCAGATCCCCAGTCATGGGACACAGCACAGGATCAGAGATGAAGCACCTGGACTGGGCTCAGAAGGGAATCATCATCGGAGRGCACTGCCAGCTCTCACTCTCACACAATGTCCCATTCTATTTACACTGGTTAGTGCTGAGGCTGTGCCACACTGGCATCCTAAAAAAGGAGCAGGATCAGCTGCCCCCCCAGACATCACCACCTCAAAAAMACAAAAACAGATGTACAAAGCTACACCCCACAAACCTACCCTGACCAGTAGCACCAGCCACCCTCTTTGGTTCTGTGTTAACCACCCAATTATTCACAGCACAAGCCTCTAATTACATGAGCCTTTTAATTACTGGTGCATTCTTTTTYCCTGCCCTCTTGGATTTCTCACAATTATTCAAAAATTAATGACAAGAAAATAACCCACAGTATTAATTGCCTACASAATACTTTGGACAACACTTGAGTCCAGTTTATCAGCATCTATATAACATTATTGGGAGATAAGTTGCTGTTAYTGAATATGATCCTTAGCTCTTTTCCTATAAGCTTGCCAGTAGGAAAGCTTGAGTAACTAACRATTTTAGCTTGTTAACAAAGATGTTTCAATTATATTTAGCACTTCTAAAAGGGCAAAGTACTTGAAAGTACACACTTATTTGGATGCTTAAATATCTTTCCAGCAATATGCTTCTTCACTTGCATTTGCAAGATGACTAACTGCTTTGCTTAGTTAATTTTTGAACACTGTACACTGGAAAAATACTAATTAATTTCATTCATTTTGTCATATCAAAAAGCATTTTAAAAACATTTTTACTGTGAGGGATGCAGGCAAAAGCAAGATATGACACATAGCTTACAAAGAAAGTTTTACAGAGAGTGATACTTGCATGCAAGCAACTATTAGTTCCCACCAYGGACAAGCTGCACATATTTTAAGAWYTCAACTCCTAGCAAGCACYCCAAAGAATTTCATATATTTATAATCACTCAATTAGTGTYTTGATATGCACACAAGGCATTTATGCTTTCATTTTTTTAAAAAAAGGACTAAAATGCAACCCATGGCAAAACAGATCCAAGCACAGATTAGGGAAGCTGAAAGGGTCTGAAAATACCTTTTAAAATAATTCAGCATTCGTTGTAAGAAGAATTACAAAGTTTATGACAGGAGTTGCCACAACCAGATACAGTAGCCTTTAGGATGGACTTTGAGTGTAGTTTTTAAGATGCAATAGACGGGACACAGCACCTACCTTGAATGTTTACAAAGTTTACGAGGTCTATTATGCAATTTCCGATCCCAATTCTCTGGATCACTGGAGTTACTGTCATAAGGATGAGGCCGTCCTGCCATTCCACTGCCAGCTTCCTCACACTACTGCTCTGAAAAGCACACATGCAGCACTCACACCTACATTAAGAGAGCAGYGTTTACCTTTAAGTAATGCCACACAGGAAGAAAAAGGCATGCAGAATTTAGTGTTGTTAGGTTTGGATTTTTTTTAAATGCAGATTAGAGAAAAATAGGATACACTGAAGCAGAAATTGCATGACAATAATATTTTATACATTTTGCTGGTACCTGCYGAATACCAAAAAGAGTATTTTGTTATATGAAGTACAATTCTAYAAATGCTTGCAGGCAACTTCAATTTTGCAACGATTAATTTCACTGTGTCCAAACAGAAGTCACTGGTTATAAAATACAAGGCAAACACATCATGATTTTCTTTCAAATGYATGAAGTTATTTGAAAAGGAGATCCCAAATGTAGAACAGAGATGAACAATTTTTTGTTTTACAATTTGAATGGCTGACCAAGAGGAAAACAGAACTAACGGTTATATCTGAGTCCTCACTTCAAAATGGAATCAAGAGCAATTTAGAAACATTCAATGTGGTCCAGTTTCACTGGCTTATGCAGAAAAGTCACAAAAACKTAATAAAAATAGATATAATAACTTCCCTTTCTTAAGTGGGATCTGATATTATCTYAAATTCCCTCTAAAATTCACTCTTAGATCAAACCATCTTGTGACTGTCACCAAGGACAGCCAMTCTCAAAAGAGTGGTGTTCAAATCATACCTCTAAGTGACACTTGTGGCAATAGAGTCGGATAATTCGGAACGACCTGGTTACAAAAACGACAAAGTAGCCACAAGTGAGCAGCTGATGATTGCACAGCATCTGGAARAAAATTGAATTACAGACAGATAAACCTTCCAAGTAATGGAAAGTCTATTATGTTTCTTTACATTTTTAGCTACATATTGTAGAAACATTGTATCTCTACTCACCCCATGCTTAATATACTTGTATTACATTCAATGAAACTTATCCTATTTGGAAGCGAGGCCCAGAGCAATTGAGACCTYCTTAAAACCAAGTTACTTCTCAAATAAACTGTCCTTTTAGTCATGGAAAATGGAATAACTCTCCTGACAAATTTAGATTCTCYTAGCTAAATTTAGACCCAAAAGTTTTTATTACAGGGGAATGGTAGAGAACAAGCTTCTTAAAAATTGCATCCAAGTTTCGCCTTCATKTTCAGTCCTAACCAAGAAATCAGGTTTTATACAAAGCATACAATTTCCATCACAGGGTTGGGTCTTTTTCCTGTTACAGTTTCCATAATTAAATGCACTTTGATTGGAAGACTAGTATGGTCAGGTGCCTATATAGATAGAGTCAGGAAAAGGAAAAAGCATTTTATTTAAAATTATAGGAAATATTAAACTTTCTCATGCAGAAAAGAAAAAAAAAAAAAAGCAGCAAAATGCCTTGATAAGTATTTCATTGTGTATTACCTGGAAATTCAGGTTAGCAAAGCACAGTCAGTGTGTGAGGATATTACACAGAGAAGGTTATTATAGCATCTACACACATTTATCAGAAGAAATAAGAAGAAACCTATAACTGATGTTAGAACAGAAAAAGTATTATTAAGGAGACAAGGGGAGGAAGGCTGGTTTATAAATCCAGGAGCTACTCCAGTGGCAATACCATGTACAAAACTGAAGTACAACACCATGTRCAAAAGCAATACAAGAATAGAGACACTTTGTATCCTGAGTTAAAACAAATTGTATTCATTAGATTAGTCTCTCCAGCAAGGTCCACAGCAGGGAACAGAGAGCCAAGAGCAGCAATGTCCCATGGACACCATTGCTCCCACTGCACCATCACACCCAGCTCCAATCTCTGCTGGGCCCTGCTTCCATGCCAGGCTTTGCCAAATCACCACAGCAACTCGGGGCTCATGGAGCACCAGGCATTTCTTCACAAGCTTTTCTTTCTTTCCACAAACCCTCTCTTCCCTTTAAAGCCATCCAAGAGCTTTATAGACACCTCACCCTCTCAGCTACATACCAAAGCAAGTGCCTTAACAGGCACCCAGCACCCAGTTCTGATTCTTTGCATAGAAGSCTATATTTTAATTCAGCTTTTGTACTGAAAAGATGTGCAAAAGCAGCTGTTTTTATGAGAACTGCAGCTGAAAGTGGCCAATTTAAAGGCACTTYCTTAAATTGTCTGGCACTTTCGGCCTTCTCCCCATCTTTCTTACCATGAAAATTCAACAGGAGGGTGCAGGTCCACACACACTTCAAAGAAAAAGCCTGTTCAAAGTATGAGGATCAGCTCCTCAATGCTACGTGGCTCCACACTTCACCCATTACAAAGAATAGACRACACAGGAGGACAGAAACAACAAATGGAACTGCTTCCCATGAACAACAGCATTCCTTTTTCCCAGCTTCCAGCACAGGAGGAASCCCAGCAGTGGCACTGATGAAGTGCCTGAGTGGCATCCAACTCTGAACCAGAGCACAGCTATGAAAAGAAGGGGAACAATCCCAAGTGTCCAAAGCTACATCTTGTGAAACTTCTTATTTTTTAGCACGTCACACTATGAACAAGAGACAGTCTTCCCTCCATCCTCCACTCCACAGGATCTCAACAATTAACACTTCTTTAAAAAACAATTTGCTGTAACGCAGCCAATTTCGAGCATTGCTGATARCACTTTTGCGCAGATTATAAACAATGTACTTATCCATTTTACTTTATGTTTTAACAGCTGTTGAAGACTATAAATAAGGAACTCTTTTGTTTTTCTCTGTTGAAACTAATTTCATTTTTCAATTATAAAATGCTGTATAAATTCTGTGAAGTAACTAACCAGTCATCCTGATTAATTTTTAAGCGCTTCTGCAAGCCCACTTTTTTCTGCAAAAATGAATAAAGAACTGTGGTTCTTTTTCTTTTTTTTTCTTTCTCATGGATTCTCACTGCAAGCAATGGAGTCACACTGCAATAAACAAAACATGTTTTGAGGAACATTCTGACCTTGTGTGCAAGAAAGAAACAAAACCAAAGAATCCCCGCAAGAGTACCCAACCCCAAATACTATTCAGTGCCTTCCATRAAATCAAGGAACCACATCTGAAATGCTGGTGAAGACAAACAGGCACTGGGAGCACATGAAATAAAGAATCAAATCCAAATACCCTCAGTAGATCACACAATCCTGGCATATTGGCCAMAGTGGTTGACATTCTAATTATCTAATTAGCAATTCTCCAGGTATAAAGAATGATTTCACACCCTTCTGCAGAAAGCAAATACTCCAGAGAATCATTACAGGGAATAACAGGAAATCAGGAAGCAGACTTTAATTTTCAAAGCTTTCYGCACAGACAGCTAGAATACTTCAGATTTGCTAACATTACCTTGAAGCCAGAATCATTATTAATTTGTGAAAGTTGTAGGCTGCTGAAATACAAGGGAATTGYAATGACTCAGTGGGTTGGAGAAGCCAAAAGTCAATGCGGCAGGACAAAACCTGGCATTGGTTGTGACAAACTCCAAGACTCAGATTAAATATTTAATATTACTTTCTGTAAGGGGTGCCAGTCTGCTGTTCACTGTCTCTAGTCATCAAAGCACAAAGCAGCAACAACAAAAAGGAACTTCCAAGTCAGATTCACTGGGAATGCAAGCATGGTGACATTACATCCTAATTAAGAAATACAGTTCAAAGGACACATGCTCATAATGCAAACACCACATACCATGGAAATCCATACCTGCCAAGTGAGTTTCTTGCAAACTAGCACAGACATCAGTCATAATTCAGCCGCCTAAAGTAGCTTTATAAATTATCATTACTGAAATGTTATCAAACTGACACTGATTAAAGCACAGCTAAGAGACATCCTCTGCAATACAGTCTCAACATTAACATAGCAGGCCAGGATTGAAGCTCCACTTAATGAGAAAGTGGGAAAAAGAAAAAAGGGRAAAAAAAATTGAGCAGTCACAGGAAGCTGATGATATTCCTATCTATAGWAACATAAACAACAGATACCCCAGTGACTATCCTGCAAGCTTTAACTTTGTAATTCCTCATGGGAACATGATGATAAAACAGCTATTTGACATTGGAAGCCTAAAAAGCAAGAGGCAGATAACTCCCAGCTCCCCCTCTGTATTCAGGCTCATTGTGTGAAACCTGCCCAGCTCTACCTGTACAAAGCTCAGTGAAAGGAGGAACTTCTCCCTCCAAAAGCAGAATAGTGGCTATCAGTGTAGGGGAAAGGAGCAGAACAYAACTCCTTGCCACTCCTACTGGCCCCATCCCTTGTAGCCCTTCAAGACACAGAGAGCAGGGCTTCATCATGCTTGGCACCAGGGATGAGACGAAGAGCACCAGAGCATCAACCATCTCTCTTGAAGTAACAAGCAAGCTCTGTACCCATGGCTGTACCCAGCAGTGATAACATATCTCAGTATGCAACATAATTCACAGAAACCTGAAATGAATTCTAAATTAGCTTTTGCTTTTACACATATTTTAAAGAGATACACACTTTCATTGTTAAGCAACAGCACCAGGCCAAGATTTAAGCAGCATTGCTAAAGGAAAGCTGTGCTGAAAGAAACTGGCACAGAATGAGGTTCTGGTTTTTGTGTATGAATACAGGACAAAGCAGCCCCAGCCTGAAGCACACAAGCTGCAAAAACACAGTTTATAACAAAATGACAGAAAACCCAACAGTGATGACATCTGTTACTAATTTAACACACAATGTCATCCACACATCAGCTGTTCACCATTTTCAAATGCAATTGTGCCTAAAAGGAAAAGTGGGCTTCAAGAAGGAACTTATGTGGGATATGAAAGCTSCTTTAGCTTGTTGTCTTTCTTAACCCCCAGGTTCCCTGGCATTAACACAGAAACACAAATGTGCTGAAAACACTTCCAAGAGCAGCCYCAAACAGCACCATCTTCACAGAGGGCAATGACAAGCACAGGCAGGATGCGTGATGAGTTTTGGAAAYAGAAATGGTACAAACCGAGAGGTAACACTCAAAGGCTTTTGGCAATCTGGGTCTTAATATGAGAASAAAATCTCTGTGATGTTTTGCAAGAGACCCAGTCCAAGACACACTGACASACCTGCCAAACACAGTGGAACAGTCTTCCTTAACTACAGGGCAATGTATGAAAAAAGGGGGAAAAAATCACCCAGTTCCTTTTGACTGCACTTGTGTTCAAGCTACAGGAATTCCGGGTAATGGGCACAAGATGATGCAGAGACATGTTTTTATAGATCAGATAAAAGATAACAAGTGTGAACTATCAGGTTATGAACTGTGAACAGTGTGAGGTTGATAATTTGAGTTATATCTCTGGGATACCTAACTCAATAGCAAACCTAGGAGGGAAAGAGAGCATCTTCCAGAGGGAAAGGATCAATAAAGCTGAAGCAACAAGAGATCTAGGTACTCTTTAAATGAATCACTGAAGGTGATTCATGAAGAAYATAGGCAAACAAAAGTAAGAAGAACAGTGTCACCGGTCAAAAGACTATTGAGAAGCCAGATTTCAAGCACATATTCAAATTTGTAAGAGGCAGCCAACAATGAAGAACAAAAAGATACAATGCTCAACCACTCTTTTAGACAAAGAAGCCAGACAAGTGACAGGAACAAACCTGGAAAAGGTCAGTGATGGAGCTGGATCCAAATTCTGAAAAAAAAGGGTTCTAAAGTGACACAATGGATGGGACCAGAGATAAAGAGGAAGGATTGCAGACAAAATAGCTACAGACAAAAGTGAACTTAAAGAAGAAATCTAATGACAGGCAACTGCAACACATAATTGTACTATGACAGATTCATCACACAAACAGCTGATATTTTCTGCAAATAAAATATGGTTACATAGGAAAAAATTATAAAGATACAGAACTCATTATGAAATCATTTGAGTGGGTAAATGACTGCTTGGGGATGATGTAAAATAAGCGTGCTCAGGAATCACACGACGGCTGTCAGGCAGTCCTGAACAACACCACTGTCTCTGTACAGGCCTCCCAGCGACTGCAGGCGCTACCGATAAACAATACAAGATGAAAACCGGGAATTCAAGTCGCGCCCAGCCTGCTCATGACACCTCCCGTCCCAGAGCTGTCGGGGCAGCACGGCAGGCGCAGGTAGAKCTGTCTGCGGGGTTTTGGGGGTGACACAACTGCAGCACGCGGCCGCTGGCAGCACACGGGGAGCTCCCGGAGCCTCCCCCKCTGGAGACATTCCCAACCCACCGGCACAGCTCCGGTGCCACCTGCTCCGCCTGACCCTGCCCTCCTGAGGGGATCACCGGAGATCCCTTCCGCTCCTCGGGACTCTGCGGCAGGGGAACCGGCGACCGGTCCGGCCGGCAGGAGCCCCGGGAAACCGGGCTGAAGGGCGCAAAAGGCCCGTGAGCCGCCGCGGCCACCCCGGGCCGCCCTCACACACCGGCTCAGCAGCGCTCAGTCACCGGCTCGGCCTCCCTCACTCACCGGCCCGGCCGCCCTCACTCACCGGCTCACTCCCGGCCGCCCTCACTCACCGGCTCACTCACCGGCTCGGCCGCCCTCACTCACCGGCTCACCCCCGGCCGCCCTCACACACCGGCTCACCCCCGGTCCGGCTCACCCCCGGCCGCCCTCACACACCGGCTCACCCCCGGCCGCCCTCACTCACGGCTCACTCCCGGTCGCCCTCATCCCCGGCCGCCCTCACTCACGGCTCACTCCCGGTCGCCCTCACTCACCGGCCCGGCCGCCCTCACTCACCGGCCCGGCCGCCGCCGCCTCTCGCCGCCGCCGCCGCTCCGCCAGGCCCGGCAACCGCCGCCACCTCTCGCGAGAGCCTCCCGCACTCAGCGGAGGAGGCGGTAGCAGTGGCGGATCTCGCGAGACTCGCGGCGCGAGGCGGGGCGCGCGCGGGACGCCGTTGCCAGGGAGCGCCCGGCGGCTCTGAGGAGGGACRGTGAGGAACGGCGTCCTGTGAATAGAAACCCGGCGGAAAAATCCCCAAGGAACTGTAAAATTAACAAAGCCGAAATCGTCGCGCAGAAACAAGATGAATCCTCGTCAGAACCCTGCGCCGAGTGTGGGGGCGGCCGGTGTGAGGGGCCGGGGCGCTGCTGGAGAGC